ATTTTGGGCCGAAGCTGTTTCTTGTGCAGTTTATTTGAACAACAGGTCTCCAACAAGAAATGTTAGAGAACAAACCCCTCAAGAAGCATGGAGTGGAAGAAAACCAAGTGTCAAGCACTTGAAAGTCTTTGGGAGCATAGCATATGCTCATGTGCCACATCAAGGGAGAGCGAAGCTTGACAATCGAAGTGTCAAGCATGTGTTTGTTGGCTATGATACGAGTTCAAAAGGCTACAAGTTATACAACCCAAGCAGCAGCAAGGTGGTGGTAAGTCGCGATGTTGAATTTGATGAAGAATTGGCATGGAACTGGGAAGCTCAGGAAGAAACTTCTTATGATTTTCTTCCATACTTTGGCGATGAAGAAGAACCAGAGACCGTGAAACTTGTGCAGGATATAACTCCACGTCCTTCTCCAACCAATGTTGCATCTCCCTCTTCTCAAGAAAGTTCAAATGAACAGCCGCAAAAGACAAGGAGCATTCAAGAGCTCTATGATGGCACACAAGAAGTTACTAATTTTGATTTTTTATATTGTCTCTTTGATGATAGTGAACCAATAAACTTTGATGAAGTTGTTACAGACAAAAGGTGAAGACAAGCCATGGAGGAAGGGATCGAGTCAATAGATAAGAACAACACTTGGGAGTTAATAATTCTTCTCAAGGGTCATCGTGCAATTGGGGTTAAATGGGGATACAAGGAACGACTTGTGGCTAAAGGCTATAAGTAAAGGCAATGCATTGCCAAGAAGAAAGGCAAGCTCAAATATGTGAAGTTTCGTGATGAGGCTGTAGATGTTTTTACAAAGCCTCTTAAGTTTAAGGATTTTCAGAGATTGAGATAAGTCTTAGAATGAAAAAGAAAATTCAAAATTAAGGGAGAAATTTGTGGGGCTCATATTAAAGAAAAATAAAAAAGAAATGAAGAAAAATGGGATGAGAGGTGCCTAACTTTGTTGATAACTTTATTGAAGAAAATGGGAGGTGTCTAACTTTGTTGAAATATTATAGGGCTAAATCAACAACAAGCCATCTTTTTTGTAGTAGTTTGATGACATTTCTTACTGTAAAAAGAGGCCTACATTCTTTATTTCAATTACACCAAAATAAGAGAGAAGTAATAGAAGTTAGAAAGAGTAATCCACATATTGTAGTCTGTGAGATAAATAGTGAGTGCGAGTAATATTGTAGTGAAGTATTTTTAAATCAAGAGTGTTATTTCTTTCAAACTTGTAGTTGTCTCTTGACACTACTAAGTTGTAATATTATAGTGGTTATATTGCTCCGCTCGGGTAATGTATTTTGCCCAATTAAAAGAGTTGGTGTCGTTGTTACTCTCTTGTGTTATTATTATTTTCCGTAGATATTATTTTTGTACGGAATTATTATTTTTCCCAACACAGATTTACCTCGATACTACCATTACCCAAGTGGAGATACTCAAGAGCCGAAAAAGACTCAAAAAACTTGGCAATATCACATATTCCTTCTTTCTCATCATCTCTTGTATCTGCAAGTGAAAGTTTTGCAAGACGAGGGACATCTTTTAACGTAAGAAATCTTATACTGCCTGTGAAGTCAAAGGATTTCAACTTGGGAGCTTTAATTTCAATAACGTTCAAATGTTCTGAGATTCGCAGCACCAACTATTCGAGCAACAGACAATCGGAAATTAAACTTTCAAGAAATATGGAAGAAATTGTGACGTTGCGTAATTCCAGGATAATTAACCTGTCAAATCCTTTGAAGTTTGATGGAGGAAGTATTAAACAATTCTAGAGAGTCAGATGACTCAACTGCAAGCATTTGAAAAAATGATACAGGCAATTTGTATGGGTTACGACAGAATGGAAGTGTAAGAACAAGATGCTGAATGCCATTTCTAGAGAGAAAATATATCAAGTCATCAATCTCAAGATAACTACGCGAACTAGTAATGTAGAGGATAAACTTTGTAATTGGCCCTACATGAAGCATCAAAATGTGGTAGATAATAATGGAAATTTTACTTGGACAGAACATTCCATTATTTTTAGTTGTCCAAACAGTTTGATCAATCATCAACTCTGGAAGTCTGCGCCATTTATATCTCCATATATTTGATAAGATGCTCGTCCTCACAGCATCTTTAAAAGGCAAACACATCAAAATGGCATCAATTACATTCTCCCGAAAGAACAATGCTTTTTGCCCTTAGGAGGCGTTGTATAACAGTACCTGTAGAAAATGAACAATAATACAAAGATGAGTAAGATCTCCAAAATATCTGGACACAAGTGCAGATGAGATAGTCAAATTAACATGTCATAACTGTAAGATGAAAAGAAAGGGTGTGTTAATCATTCATAAAATCTTCGCTTAATATCAAAAATAGGACCAAGAACCGCATTAAGTTTTGGTTCTAACAAGCTTATCAAACTGACATTGATAGCCAAACAAAAAGGAGAGATAAAAGGTCCAATAATAGGTCAATTTAACTAAGAAAATTAGTAGTTTCACAATTTAGGCTATATTTGACATCAAACTAGTAGGTACATAACCCTAACATTGTGTGTCAATTATAATTAAACACAACAGAAGGGGTCTGTTCTCATTGAAATCATTCATAAATCTCCTCTTACTATCAAAGAATTGCATTCTCTACAGCAAGGATACCATCCACAAATACTTTATGATAACAAAGGACTATAACCCTTTTTGCTTCTACCAAGCTTTACACAAGAAAGGAAAAATAAAACAAGTCCAATAATTGGTAACTTTAACTTGGAAAATTAGCGGTTCTTTTTGAATAAGATAATGGTGTTTTGTTAAAGCAAGGTAATAAAGTAGTTATAAGATTAACTATTTCACAGATTAGGCTAAACTTGACATCAAACTAAAGGGCAAGCCGCGTTCACACAGGATTCGGGAAGGGCCGCACCCCAAGGATATGATATAGATAGCCTAACCTAATGCAAGCATTAGTGGCTATTTCCACGACTCGAACTCATCACCTATAGATCACACAGAAACAACTTTACCATCAACATCAAAATAAGCTTAATAGCTTTTCGCATAAACTTAACACTAGCTAAAATTGGAATAGCGTAAATAATCTCAGTAAGCATGAGTGGCAAAGTTATAAACACAACGGAAACTGAATAATCATGTCATATTTAACATAATGAAGTGAATTACATTATAGAACGCCAACTGCAATAACACAGCGCATGAAATAATTAGAAATAGTTAAAAATAATGTTAATCCTACTTTACAAGGAGGAGTTAGGCTTTCTCTCTGGGTTGTCTTCAATATTTCAGCTGTTGGCCACTATTTTAACAGTTCAAGCCTTTATTAAGTATTTAGAGCTTTTTATTATTTTTAACTCTTTGGTTTTTCCCTCTAAAATAATTGTCCTCACACGTTTCTAATTGAAGATGTCGGCATACCTAAAACAAACAAACGAAGGGAAATATCTTTTTAAAAGGAATAAAACTGTCTTCAAAGTATAAAGATGTTCCTAACAATTAAAAAGAACATATTAGTTTTAATTACAAATATGTTCAACAATGAAATATGTTCAACAATGACAAGAGTGGGTTTTTCTAGTGGTGAGCACCCTCCACTTCCAACCAAGAGATTGCGAGTTCGAGTCACCCCAAGAGCAAGGTGAGGAGTTTCTTGGAGGGAGCCGAGGGTCTATCGGAAGCAGTCTCCCTATCCCAGGGTAGGAGTAAGGTCTGTGTACACAATAACTCACACAAACCCCACTAGTGGGATTATGCGTACAATAGTCATTATGGTTCGGCCCTTCTCCGGACTCCGCGCATAGCGGAAGCTTAGTGATTATGTCATGATTTATTCAACAAATTTACCGAAGTAGATCTATACAATCAAATAATTGAAGACATAGCATCGCTTTGGGATCATCACGGCGGAGGAAGATAAAAAAGATTGGGGTATTATTACTTTTAGCCCACGCCAGAAACTATTTACATTTGATAGCCGAAAAAGTGTATAAAATTTGTATAATTTTTGTATATGACATATAAAATGTATATATATACAAAAAATATACAAGTTTTATATATTTTTTCGGGTATTATTTTTACGGCGGTTATACAATTTCATTTTTCCTAAAATATTTCACCTATAATAAGTAATCATTATACAATTTTTCTGATCAGTCTATGATAATTTGCCCCATTTAACTAGAGTGCACTTGATCCAATATATTCCTTGTAAGAGATATTTATGACGCGTGAATGGATTATTCTTTTATTAATCTTTTTATTACTAATTCCTAAGTAGGCGTTTGGACATATAAATTGTAAAATTTCGGAAAAAAATGAATAACAATTTCAAGTGAAAATGGTATTTAAAAATTAGAATTGCGTTTGGACATGAATATAATTTTGGGCTGTTTTTGAATTTTTTTTGTGAGTAATCTGAAGTGAAAATTTTGAAAATTAATTTTTTAGAATTTTTTAAATTTTTGAAAAATTTCAAAATTCACCAAATCGAAAATTTCATGACCAAACACTAATTTCGAAAATAAATAAAAATAATTTCAAAAAAAAAAAAGAATATTTTTTATGGTCAAACAGGCGATTGCAATGCCAACTTTTCCTTTTGTAGCCCCCACAAAAAAGTGCGAAATTATTTGAATTTAATAGTGCAAGATTATAGAGTACCAGAAATCGTGTCAAGATGTATTTCTATGAGCTTTACTTTTACAAATGCAAGTAGGATACCTTTGTTACAATTTCAACTTTACTACAATTGTTTATTTCACATATAATTAAAAAAATTATTAAATTAACTGTTGTACTAGTTCTTTTAGTAATATACAAATGTATTTGGCAGTCAAAACATAACACCTTGAATAACAAGTTCGTACTTGATTAAGAATGAGAAGACCAAATTTTAGATGGGAAGATCAACATTACCTTATGTATCTTAAGAATTACTTGATTCACAGTAGAAATCAAATAGGTAACTAATTTTTGTAACCTAAGTAAAGTAAAAAGCCATGCACTGTAATCACAAAGTCAAAAGAAACCATATATCCACATTCATTTACATCCCCGAACTGATGTTCCTACTTCTCTCAATCTTATGGCAATTAGGCAAAACACAGAGTTATACTATAGCATCAACATTCGTTTCTATCTATTCACTTCAACTTCCAAAACACTTTCGCAAAAGATCATGATCTGATTAAAGAGACGTGAAGATCAAACAGGATGGTTATACAACAACAACATACCCAGTATAATCCCACACCGTGGGTATCAAACAGGACGGTTATATGGATGCTTATCCAAGTTATAGACAACTTCTGCTTCAGGTGATGCCCGCTGAAATTTTGTTAGCTCAGCGAGTAATCTGACAGCTGCAGAATCTTCAACTAGACATGGCTCGATTAGCATTCTCTCCAGCCCGGGAGACACGGCCAACAAAAGCTTCATAAGCTGCATCTCAGGGATTGTGCCATTAGTTTGTATTAGCTTAACTTCCCTGAGGTGATTAAATGACACATCTGAGAAACGTTCCACGTCAAGACATTCTAGAGCTGGTATATCATTGTCATCGCGCTCCACCTAAGAAAGATTAACAAAAACTCAACTCCCTAAGCTTATAGATGAAATAAGGAGTATCAAAATTAGAAAGCCACTACACAAAAAGCGAAAGCCAAGAGAACCTTAATTTCCATATATTGTAAATATGGAAAGCTTTTTATCAGACAAAGAGCGCATGCAACCTCATCCCAGCAACCCAGAAAAATACTAGATATGCGAAGATGTTTGACACAGTTAAGATTAAACGAAAGCCTTGTTGGTATTTCACCTGCTCCTGCAACAAAGGACTTAGAAAGAGGCAAAAATCAGGATCACCCATAGCCCAAAAGATGTTCAATCATTGAAACTGTATTACAATGAAGCCATGAAGCAACATTTACCATGTCATTTAAGTGGAGGTATTCTAGAGCAGAAAAGGACTCAAAAAACTCGGCAATATTACTTTTTCGTGCCGCCACATAATATTCCCTATGCATAAGTGAAAGTTTTGCCAGAAGAGGGCTACGTTTTAAACAGATAGAACTCATACTGCCTGTGAAGTCAAAAGATCTCAGCATGGGAGCATTAATTCCAATGACATCGCTTAACGCACTTGAGATCTGCAGCACTAATTGCTCAAGCAACAAGCAATGAGAGATTAAACTTTCAAGCAACTTGGAAGAAATTGTAACATCACGTAATTCCAGGCTAATTAGCCTATCAAATCCTCTGCAGGCTGGTGGAGGTTGTACTGAACAATTTTGGAGAGTCAAATGCCTCAACTCGAAACACGTGAAAAATGAAGGCGGCAATTCGTACGGGTTACCCCTGATTGGAAGTCTAAGAACAAGATGCCGAATGCCATTTCTACGGAGGAAACGTATCAATTTGTCAATATTAGGAGATCTTTCCAAATAAGGAATGAAGAGGGTGAACTTTGTGATTGGTCCATCATGAAATCTCATAATGTGGTTGACAATCTTTGTAAATTTATGTGTAAAGTACATTAAATCCTTTTTGGTTATCCAGAGTGTTTGATCAAGCGCCAATTCTGGAAGTCTGCACCAGTTATACCTCCATTTCTTTGATAAGATGCTAGTCCTCACAACATCTCGTAAAGGCAAACGCACAAGAATATCATCAATTACATTCTCAGGGAGGCTGCTAAGCATATCGAGAGTTAAAGTTTGACAGTGATATTGCTTTTTGCCCTTAGGAGGCATCATATAAATATTCGCCAATAAGAACCTGCACAAAATAAACAAGAGTACAAAGATGAAGATCACCAAACTATTTGGATAGAACTAATGTTCACATTGTAAAATAAACATGCCCACAACTGTAAGAAGAACAGATAGCGTGTTTCGAAAAAGAGGATAGAGCCTTTGTTTTGAAAACTAGCATCGTACGAAGAGAATGAATTAATGATTACAAAAATGAAGAGAAAAAACAATGACGAGAATCAGATATTAAGCTTACCAAGACCTAAGATTGAAGAAGATGGAAATAGCCTTTATTTTGGGCACTCCTTGCACTTTGGGCTCATCACTCTACGTCCCATCTCGAGTTTTCATAATTATAAAAGAACGTTTTAATCGCCCATCCTCCCCCCCCCCAAAGAATGACAATTAGCATTAAACCTTGATAATTGCGCCGTACTATATTGTTAAATTGAGATGGAAGTAATACCATTTTAGCACTTGAATAAGCTTAGATTCTTGAACATGTACCAGGTTATATTTACACAATCAAGTCTTATTAGTTAATTATATGTCAATATCTTAACAAGTGTCAATCGGTAATCAACCAACTATCACATGTTAAAATTCATCGATAATGTAAAATTTTACGCTATTAGTATATATTACTTAAATCCTAAAAGTAATGGTGAAGGAACCTTTAAAATAGAATTTAGCCGATTATTATTATTTTAATTTTTTTTTATAACCGTGGTGTCCGGGCTAGCTTGCGCGCACCTCGACTAATTCCACGGGGTACCTGCCACCTCCCACCAGCAACAGGTACCAAGTACCTCGATCCACCAAGGCTTGGATAGATGGGAAGAAATCAACTAGTATTTGACTCCGTTGGGATTTGAACCTGAGACCTCATGGTTCTCACCCACTTCATTGACCACTAGGCCACACCCTTGGGTGCCGATTCTTATTATTTTTATTAAATGAAAATGAAAGTGAAAATAAAAAGAGAACTTTGCTGATGGATAATCACTTCAGCCTTCAATCCTAGGAGTACAAGACATAGGATTTTGTACAAGAGGTATCAAATATTGTCGATTTAACTTGTACATGGATTTGGGTCACACAATTTTAAAATGCTTACATCGCACGTATTTTCTAGCTGTGTAGACCAATTGTGTGCACACGTTATCATCAAGAAAGTTTTTAGAACTTACTGATCTTACTCTTGTCTAACTACAATGCCGTAATGAATTTTTCTCTAAATTGAATGCTTCAGCCTACTCCAAATCCTTTAAATCAAAATGAGATAGTTCCAATTAACTCGCGATTACCTTTTTTTTTTTTTTGAGAAGGTAACATATTTGTATATTAATATATAGACTTCACTAACTTTGTGAAGTCACCCATAATTATAAAATGAGTGCCCAAAAAGAAAATTAGAACACTTATAATCATTGGTCTTCTCACATGGAATCTAGCACATCAAAAATGGATTCATGATCCTCCAAAAACTTTCCTTTACACCAAAAATAGAAAAGAGCTAGACATTTCATCTTCATCTTCTGGATGTTACTGGATTTGTCTCGCGATTACCTTTTAGTGACATGATAGTTTCAACTAACTCACGATTACCTTTTAAGTGACATGATTGCATTAATATTTTTTACACCATCAATGCTAAGAATTTGAACTCATAGTTTTACTACTAAAATCTGAATAGCTAAATAAGCTTAGTACAGCTTTATTATCAAATTAGCACAATCCAGAGCTTACTTGGCAAGTATAACCACAAAAGAAAATAAAGATTTCTGTCATATTAAACAATACTAAGTTCATCTCTACAAAATACAGAACCTGGTAGCTGCAGCAAACACTTTGAAATTAGAACACATTCACATACCCAAGAAAAAAGAGTACTAACAGAAGATAAAAGCATTCTCACAGGCTAGAATTCATCTTGAGAGAAAAGAAATGATTAATTAAAAAGGCATAGAAGCACTTCAAGCTTAGACCTAAGATTATTAGACTTTCTTCAGCGCCATGCCTTCCGCTACTGGGCATTGTTAGTAGTTTTGAAGTCTTCAGAAAGTACTTTGGACTTTAACTCTTTGGGTTCACCACTTATAATTCACGTCTCGATCTTCAAACCTATCCTTAATTGAAAAAAATCGCCATTTTAAAGAGGCTACACTGCCTCAGAGCAATTTTCCTACTTTCAGCTTTCATCCAACACTCATCAATAAATTTCTCATTATGTTTGATTTATTATGAAGATACACATTTTACCTAGAAAATATTAAAAATCTTCATAAACTTGACTTCATTCGACTCGTAGACTAAGGGTAGTTCGTTGCACGAAGCATGCGTACAAGCAGGGTCCGGGAAGGGCTGCGCCTCAAGGGGGTGTGATGTGGGCAGTCTACCCTACTGCAAGCATTAGTGGCTGATTCCACGGCTAAAACGACATATAGGTCACACGGAATAACTTTACCGTTACTCGAAGGCTCCCCATTTCTGACTCGTAGACTACCGCTGTAATTTAAATATTACCATAGAACTCCAACTTTATCTCAGTAATTATGTTTAAACCCACACATGACCTGTTGGATCTTACCATTAGAGCAAAGCCCTAGGGCTCGGCTTGTACAAAAAATTATGCTACTGCCTACGCTTGCCAGCTTGACATCAATGACAACGTTAACCTCCATCAAGTTATAAGCAAAATCCAATTGAATTTCAGCTGATTTTATTAGACCCAGATGATAAAAATACAATCTTGATTTCAAAATTCTACAGAACCAAAACACATAATAAAAGCACATGAGTTGTGTTAACAATGAAGCAAACAGTAAGTGAAAAAAAGAAGAAGAGAGAAATAGAGAGAGGAAGATGAGAACCTGAGGATGAATTGTGAAGTACTCGCTCCTATAGTTACTTCTCTGATTGACGGCTAATTCAGTTTTTTCATTGGAGTTGTTGAGTGTTGAAGAAAATGAAAGAATGGTTAATTTTTGTTTCGTTACAAAAACAATAACCCATTTTTTAATTTGGAAACAATTTTGTTTAAACTTATAATTCTATCATTAATGAGAGCTTTTATAATCATACAAATACGCTGGCCCCTTTTTGAATTGTTTAGAATCACAAATTCTAAAAGTATTCATTTTTTTTAAAATTTTGTGTTCAGTCAAACAGATTCACATAAATTAGAACGGAGGGAGTACCACACATTTAAAGTTTAAGAGGGATAAATTGCAATTGCCTCCTATTTAGTTTGGTAAAACTACAGTTAGGCCCTTATATAGCTGTTATAGATTTCTTTTTGGATGCCAAAACCAAATGTGCCAAATTCAAGATTTTGACTAAGATGCCAAATTTTATCATTTTATATATCAACCATTAATCAGTAGCTAGAGTTAGGAGATAAAATTAAAAGCAATACATGGGAACCACAAGTATAGAAGAGGGACATCTAAAGAGCAATATTATTTTAATTTAGTTTTAAACTGGCATAATACATAAACAGATCTTCAAACTTGGCCTCAGTTGGCAAATATTGTAAGGTCCCGTTAAAATTTTCTGATGATTTAAGATTTTTAAAGTGCGCCAGCGGTATTTGGGAATAACGTTTCGAGTATTAAAGGAGACCTATGGGATAGAACCACATCATTTTGAAATGAAAATATATGTTTAAGGTGTGTTGGAACATATCAAGGAGGTTTGTGAGTGGGAAGAATTTGTGTGGAACAAGTTGGATACATTAAGTGGAAAGGATGTCTAAATTTGCATAACACCTTATTATAAGCGAGAATTACTCTTATAGCAAAGGGATATTTTTCATGAATTTTGTCCCTGAAGCATAGCCCTTCGAGTCTTGTTTCGAAAGCATCAAACTATTTGTCATTTGGATATTTCTACAAGAAGTTATGATCAAATTATTAAAATGAGGCAGGTGGAACAAAGAAAGTTTTGCTAAGGGTTTAAGACGTTATATCGCGCCTCGAGATCTCCACTTTTCGCTTGTGTACCCTAGATGGCTATGGATGAGGGAAACATCGTGTAATCATGGTTTCGTACTTATATGAAAGTTTGAAAGTGAATTGGGGTCTACATCATAGCAAGGTATCGAAGGAGGGTAAGTTGGAAAACAAGAAATATAGAAAGGATGCAACTGGGGAGCTCGTCTAAACTAGTGTGCCGCGCGGGTTTGAAAAAGCCATGACCCCCAGCCATTTCAACAAAACAGCGAAGTATTAACCCATCACGCGAACTTGAACGAGAGCTCATCTGTGTCCGCGCGACGCACGAGGATGGACAAGCTAGGCCTGAAGCCTTTATAAAGAGCATTTCGGTAGCTCACTTCCCCCACACCTCTTGGCCGATTCTTGGAGTTCCTCTCTACTCTCTCAAGACCCCCAACTCCCCTCCCCTCCCCCTCCCCCCATCTTCAAGGTGAGTAATCCCTGCTAATTTGGTATTTCATTCCATCAATTCCGCATTAAAACTAACTCAATCCTCCATAAAATACATAGATCTTCAAGAACTCAAAGGAAGGTTTTGCAAGATTTCTTCCAAAAGGTAATCCTACACCCTTAGACTTAAATGTATGGATATATTATAGGAATATGAGTATGAATTAAGTATTGAAACTTATGGTATAGTGATTGAAAACCATAAGTTTCCAATTTAAATACATAATCATTGTAGAGATTAAAAGGTGATTATTTGATGGATTGTTTATTGGTTGGGTGTAGATGGATGGTCATGTATGTGATGTTGGAAGTTCTGAATCGTTTAAGAATGATGATGGGATAAATTATTGGTAAATGATAGTAGTTGGATGAACTAATTATATAGTTAATAGATATAAAAATTCATGCCTACTAGGTGTTTGATAAAATGCCTAAGTGAGCTGAATGCTATGAACCCCTTCCTAATGATGGTCCAATTTGACCATATTTCTATAGATTGACATTGCCATGGGTAGTGGAACATTGTAACAACTATAACGAAAGCTCAATCGAGGTATGTTGGCTAAACTACTCTTTTAGAAATGAATTCCATGATGTTCCCGTAAGTTTCAAGTATGGTTGGTTCAAGTTCCCAATTTTCATGTTTCGAGTTGTTCCTAATAAATTCGATTATCCCGAGCAAGCAAAGTGTCAAAAGATGTATGTATTCAAAATGTATTCCAATTATCATATTATATTATCCTTTGGGAATGTGTCCAAGAATGACATGTGTATTAAAATGTTATGGCTTTGAGTCGCATTTCAAATGAAAGTTATGATGTCAATTTATGGGAGAAAAACTCGATATACTTAAAACTCTTAATTGCTCATATGTGTACCTAAAGTCTTGATTTAAATGTCTTGTTGTTGATAATCTATAAAGATGCTAGAAAGTGAAAGAAGTGGGTTGAACATGTAAAGTGTGGCCACCGTGCCGATAATGAAAGTTATACTTGTGGCCAATGGTGCCAAGGATATGAAATGATGTGAGAAAGGTTATGACATGGGCCTGGATTCAACTGTTCCAAAATTATTTCAAAAATAGAATTGCCTAAAAACTTATGTACTCAAGTCATGCCCATATATGGCTGTTTTAACTAATATTATACTTTGTGAGTATTTTCAATGTGTTTTGCGTTCTTACATATTCGTGAGTGAAAATTGTGTATTTCCCTTTTTGGGAAAAGTATTTCAAGAATAAATGGTGAATTACTTGTTTATGATTTTAACTTGCGCATCGATCGCCAATCATTTTACTCTATTTCTTGGAAA